ATCAGGAAGACCTGGGTTCAAATCCCCTCTTTGGTAGCTGTGTGACCTTACACAAGTCTCTTAACCATTCTGAGCTCCATTTTCCTCATCTCTAAACAAGGAGGGGTTGGATTAAATGGCCTCTGAAATCCCTTCTAGATCCAGATTTATGATACATGAAAATAACATGGGTACCCCACAGAGAAATTGGGGAGAGGTATAATTTACAGAATTATTTAAATGCCCTTCCTGTCTCCACCTTGAACATTTAAAATGAGTCAACTTTTGGAAATTTTGATTTACATACAACTTCCCACAGGCATTATTATTAACCCAGATGTGTGATTCCACTGGCATAAGGGACTCCTGGTGAGGAAGAAGCACCTGCTTTGTAACTCAAGAGAGCTGCCTGGGGGGACTGGGGGCAGGTTAAGTCACTTGCTAGCTCAGGGCAAAGAGCCCACCTGTGTTGGAAGTGGGACTTGGACGCTTTTCTTCCTGGCTCCAGCTAGCCCCTATCCCTCTGCTCCTCTACAATATATCGAGTACCCAAAGAAGATGGGCCCCAATAGCAGATTGCTTTGCATACACCCCCCCACTTCTTTCTCCTAGCCCTACCCCCGCTGGCAAAAGGGCAAAGATGTCTCAAGAGAAGAATCGGTCCCTGTATGAGCTCTGATGTCAGCCCAGACCAGTTCCCTTCTCTGGCTAAGCGGGCAAAGTTGGGAGGGAAGATGAGTCCATGGACAGCTTCTCCTCCCAAAGATGAGATACTCTGCCCTCCCCAGCCCAGGCCACTTTCAGAAAGGGCAGCTCTCTTTAGCCTGCTGGCCACTAACATATGCTCGAGTGCAGAGGGGTCTGTGGATGGGCTTCCACTAGAGCCGATGGCGTCCTCTTGGGAGAAGAGCTGAGTTCAGTGGTGGTGGTGCAGAACCTTTGGGTCATTGGGTCAGACACACAATGCTGACATCCTGGAATTGCAGGCAGTCTCTGGGGCTGGAGACTTGGGGCCTCCTGAGAGAAGGGGACCCAGGCTGGCCCTGCCCCAGCCACAAGCTTTCTGTGCTCAATCCCTGCCCCTCTGTGTCTCTCCCCTGACTTCGATGAGTGGTATAGTAAAGAGAGCCCTGGGGCAGGAAGACCTAGGTTCAAATCCTCCCTCTGACATTTACTCCCTGCGCCATGCTTGGCCAGGTCACTGAGCCCCCAGTTCCTCATCTGTAACATGAGGGATAGGCTTCAGTTCTAAATCTGTGATCCTAACCTCCCATTTCTAGACATCTCCCCTTTCTCTTCCTTTTGCCCCACCCCTCCCTTTCCTGGGCCTCTTCCGCCCTCCTCTCCCCTGGTTTCTCCCTTCTCCGTTTCGCCTCCCTCTTCTGACCTCTGTTTCCCTTCTCTGTCTTTTCTCCTTCTCTCCTGCCCAGGCCTCATCTCTTTTCCCTTCCCCCACCCTGACCTCGCCTTTCTGCGCCCCCCCCCCCTTCTCTTACTCTCCCCTCCTCCCACCAACTTCTCCCTCCTGGGACCTCTGCCCCCTCCCTGGCCTCTTCCTTCCATGCCCTCCTCCCCCACCCATCTTTCTCTGGCCGCTGTCCAAATGGGCCTCTCCTTTCCCTCCCTCATTAATCCTGATGGCCTCTGGCGCCAGACGAGAAACGCAAAGGGTTAAAATGGAAACCCAAACTGTCCCAGGGGAGGGGGGTGGGCTGGGTCTGCCTCTCAATCTGCCTGGCTCTCCCCAGCTCGGCCTGTTGCCGTGGAAACGCCGGCTAAAAATAAAATGGTCTCCAAATGCAGAGCCCCATGCGTGGAGTCAAAACAGACTAATTAAAGCAGCTGAGGCTAAAACGTAAAGATAATTACAAACTCACTCCTGGAGCCAGCCTGGCAAGTTTTGGGTGTGTGTGTGTGTGTGTGTTTAACTGAAAAGTAGGGGATCCCTGTCTATGGGGTCCCTGTCCCTGGAATCCCTGGGAGCCCCGCTTCTGAGAAACCAGGGCTCCCCTTTCTCTCATATCTCTGAAGATCCCCTTTCAGATCCCCATTTCATCCCACCCCAACCCCATGATATTGGAGTCACCCCAAGACGAGTCCAAATTCGAGTCCTGACAGCTTCAAGCTATGTGACTTTGGGCAAGTGTCTTCACCTCTTCTGGTCCTCTTTTTTTTTAGATAAAATAATAATAATAATAACAGTAATACTTGATCTCTGATATTTTTGTACCCAAGAAACCCAGGGTCCCCGTTCCTGAAATTCCCCCTCTTCCTATACATTTCTCAGGCATCTATCCCTCCTCCCCGAGAAAACATAAGGTCTCTGCCCTTGGCAAACGTGTGCTGCTGCTAGCCTCCGAGAGTCCTGCTTCCCGTGGAGTCCCTACCCCGTCCAAAGGTTGTGAACATTGCGTTCTCACCCACCCTATCTTCCTTCCTCATCGTGCATTTCAGGAACGGATTTCAGCTTCCTTCTTAAAGGTCTTGTCACTGACTGTCCCTTGGGCGATTGCAAAAAAAGCCTCAACGTGGGCTGTTGGGTGGCTTTTTGTTTTTTGGTTTTTTTTTTTTTAAAGCAGATGCGCTCATTTCCCTTCTAAGGCTGCTACGGGTCTTGCTGATGGTCCCACCCTTCCCTCTAGGGACCAGGGATGTGAGCTGCATGGCAGAGACCATGTTACCCTCTGCACAAAAGACTCACTCTTTAATTCTCGACAAAGCGCTTTCCTCTCCATAAATCTTGGGAGGTGTGTAGTATCATTAAGTCCATTTTGATATGTGAGGAAACTGAAAGTCAGAGAGGTCAGTCAACAGACATTTATTAAATCAGGTACTGTGCTAAGCTTAGAGAATACAAAGAGAGGAGAAACAGTCTCTGGCCTATGTACATGCACTACATATTGCAAAAGGAAAATATACCAGAGGGGAAGACTTGGGTGCCTGGCAGACCCAGAGGGCCTCTCATAGAAGGCAGCCTTTGAGCTGAGTCTTGAAAGGAGTCTTGAATGAAGTCATGGATGTCAAGGTGAAGAGTGAGGGTATTCCAGGAATGGGGAGCAGAGTGCAAAGGGCGGGGGGAGACAAGATAGAGTGTTCTGGGCAAATGCTCCGAGTCGGGTAGATGGAGTGTCTTGTTGGAAAAACAGCAAGAAAGTTAGTGGTCTGGAGTCAGGAGGACCTGAGTTCAAAAATGGCCTCAGAAACATAACACTCACTAGCTGTGTGACTCTGGGCAAGTCACTTAACCCCAACTGCCTCACCAAAAAAAACAAGAAGAAGAAGAAGAAGGTTAGTAGCATTGAATCAGAGTGCCTAGAGAAGATATTTTGTGAGAAGACTGGAAAGGTGGGGTGGGGCCAGGTTGTGAATAGCCTTAAATGGTGAACATAGAACTTTCTAGCTGATATTGGAGGTAAAAGGGAGCTATGGAGTTTATTGAGGAGGGATGGGGCAAAGTCCTATGCTTTAGGAGAATTACTTGGTGGAAAGATGTGTTGAAGATGGATTGGAATGGAGAGAGACTAGAGCTGGGAAGGCTAGTTAGAAGGCTCTTGCTTTCTAACGGATGAGAGGTGATGGCTGTGTGAGTGGGGAGAAGAGGACACATGTGAAAGATATTGTGAAGGTGGAAATGACAGGGATTGTTTATGTGGGATATGTACCTGATTGTTTATGTGGGATAAGTGAGAGTGAGAAGTTGGAAATTACATTTAAATTATAAACCTGGGAGACTGGGAAGTTGGTGATCCCCTCAACAGTAACAGAGATGTTTGAAAGGAGGGGAAAGACAATGGGTTTTGTTTTGAACATATTGAGTTTGAGATATTAAGTTCTAAATGTCTCATAGTTGCAGGTCTCGGAATGAAGGTCAGAAGAGAGACTGGATATTGAGATCTGGGAGTCAGCTGTGTATACACACATACATATATACGTGTATGTATGTATCTCATATATCTGTGTGTGTGTGTATATATATATATATATATATATATACATATATATACATACATACATACATATATATATATGTATATATATATATGTATATATCTCACGTAGACACACATATAGGTATATATAGGTAGGTAGATAGAGCTATAGATATGATAACTAAGTTCATGGGGACTTGAGTTCACCAAGTTAGGGTATAGGGAGAAAAGAGAAGAGGACCCAGGACTGAGCTTTGGGAGACACTCACAGGTAGGGTTGTGGTGAGAAACATTCAGCAAAGGAAACTGAAAAGGAGTGATCACACAGGAAGTAGGAGAACCAAGAGTACAATGTTACAAAAGCCCAGAGTGGACAGAATATCCTGTAGAAGAAAATGATCAATGGTGTCAAATACTGTGGGGCAGCTAGGTGGGACAGTAGATAGAGCATTGGGTCTGGAGTCAGGAAGACCTAAGTTCAAATCCAGCCTCAGACTAGCTGGGTGACCCTGGGAAAGTCACTTCACCCTGTTTGTCTCAGTTTTCTCATATGTAAAATGTGCTGGAGAAGGAAATGGCAAATTACTCTAGCATGTTTGCCAAGAAAACCCCAAATGGGGTCACAAAGAATTGGACACAACTCTACAACTAGCCGTAGAACCCTGATCCTATAATTAATTGCTGTTCATAAGAGCTCCTGATTGTCTAGTGCTTTACAAATCTTATCTTATTGAATAATTCCAAGTCTTTGGATTCCCAAGCCAGATCTGTTTCTACTACATAACACATCTTTTCACACTCATAAGTAATCAACACATTTGTCAAAGTGCAAAACCAAGTATGAGGTGAGAGGGAAAAAGCTGCTATATTCAACCCCTATGTGAAATGACTGAAAAACAATATAAACTACTACAAAATGTCATTCAGCTATTAAGTGTCAGAACCAAGATTTGAACCCAAGTCTTTTGACTCTAAGATCAGTGCTGTTTTTTTTCCGCCCTGTATATCTCCCTATAAAGAGGCTGGGGGGGGGGGATGGTACCAGACCCGGGTCTTGAGAATATGCAGTAATTGGGGATTTTTGCCTTACAGGACCATCAAGGTGGAGGTATATGACTGGGATCGGGATGGCAGGTGAGTACAATCAATGAACTCAAGAAAGAAGAGCAGCATGGGAAGCTGGAGAGTATGACCTCCCAGCCTCGGTGGGAGGGAAGAGGGGACAATGCCAAGAGGGGCCGGGTTTCCTGCTTGGCGCATCATAGTCATTAGTCAGACCTGCTTAGCAGGCCAGGCCATAGAGTGGTGTGATGTTGGGGTCATCAAAAGACCTCCCCACCTCCATGAATCTATCAGCATCTTTGACTGTAGTGCGAGAAATTTCATGCTTTTTTACACAAGGGAGGGATCTTGTTAATTGCGGATATTTCACAAGGAAAATTGTCACCTTAAGACATTATCTTCTCCTAAGCATCATAGTGGGGCAGCTAGGTGGCTCAGTGGACAGGGTGCTGGGCCTGGAGTCAGGAAGCCCTGAGTTCAAATCTAGCCTCAGATACTTACTAGCTGTGTGACCCTGGGCAAGTCATGTAACCTCTGTTTGCCCACTGGAAGAAGAAAATGACAAATCACTCCAGTATTTTTGCCAAGAAAACTCCATGGACAGTTATTGGCATGCTATGATCTGCGGGGTTAGAAAGAATTGGACATGACTGAACAGTGACAAAGCACGGCAGTGTGGTTTTTGTTGTGAGACCTGAGGTATCTCTTAGACTTTAGACCTGGAAAGGACATTTTGCAGAGGGAGAAAACTAACCACTCTGGACCTCAGTTTCTTCTTCTGTAAAATGAAAAGATTGGACTAGATGACCTTTAAGGCCCTTTCTAGTTATTCATGTGTTATGATCCTATAATTAAGTGTAAACCAGTTCTAGTTCTGGAGCCAGATGACCTGGGTTCATATATCCTATCTCTGGTGCTTTCTCTTGTACTTGTGAAACCTTGGACAAGTCACTTCACCTCTGTGCCTCAGTTTCCTCATCTGTAAAAGGAGGCATTTGAACTAGAAGGCTTCTAAGGACCCTTCCAGATCCAGATCCATGATCCTGGATTAATTCCTCAGATTAACTGACTGTCACCTAGCAGAGAGAGGATGAGGCACAGGCCTTTGGTTAAGTTTGCATAGGGAAGAGGCAGAGGTCTGCAGGGATGAGAGATTGTTGAGGTAAAACAGACTCTTGAGTGAGGGGTGGGGGGCAAATGGTGGGGGGGTGGGGAGGTAGAATACTTGGTAACAGTAGAGTGAAGTCATTGAAACGGCTAGGTGATGCAGTACAGAGAGTGCTGGGCCTGGAGTCAGGAAGACTTGAATTCAAATCCAGCCTCAGATACTAGCTGTCCAACCCTGGGCAAGTCACTTAACCTCCATCTGCCTCAGTCTCTTCAACTCCAAAATGAGTATAATGATAGCCCCTACCTTGAAAAGTTATTGTGAGAATCAAATGAGATCATATCTAGAAAGCACTCAGCACACAGTAGGTGCTTAATAAATGCTTGCTCCGTCTTTTTCTTCCCTTACTTAGCAGTGATGGTTGGAGGACGATATGCAATATACTATAAGCAGCTTGGGAGTAAGGATGATTTCATTTTTGTCTTTGTATTCCCAGTCCTTAAGCACAGCGCCCAGCATATAGTAGGTACCTAATAAAATAGTTCTTGAATTAAATTGACAGAAAATTATTTCACAGTTTTGCTAAGGGCAAAGCCTGCTTGGTTTATTTAGGTAGCTGGTGTGGTGGAGTGTGGTCGGCTGGTTTGTTTCATTGATCAGGCCCAGCTACTCCCCTAATATTTGAATTGAATGGAATCAGGCTCGTTAGTTGGAGCTGCTGTGGGGGATGGGCTTTCCTGGTCTGGAGCTTCAGTAATGGCTGGGGGCAGGGAGAGGAAGGGCCTCTGGCCTCCTTGGGTAATGTCATACCGGGCCATTCAGCTGTCCCTAAGAGTTACATTTGGATAAACTAGGGAGGAAAAGAATAATAATAGCTTTTATGTAGGGCTTATTATGTTCCAGGCACTGTGCTAAGCCCTTTACAATATCCTCATTACAACCCTAGAAAATAAGTGCTATTATCATCCCCATTTTTTATTAATTTATTTTGATTTATCAACAATCACTTCCGTAAGCTTTTGAGTTTTAAATTTTTCTCCCCCTCCCTAAGACAGCCTGTAATCTGATATAGTATTATCCCCATTTTTACAGCTGAGTTCACCAAGGCAAACAGATGTTTAGTGACATGCCCAAGGTCTCAGAGCTAATAAGTGTCTGAGGAGGCTAAATTTGAACTCAGGTCTTACTGACTCCAGGCTCAGAGCTCTGTCTGCTGTACCACCTAGCTGCCCCCTTTCCAGAGCAAGCCATGCTCAGTCCCTGCCTATTTATTACTATCCCATCCCAACATCTCTTTCTTATTTCCCCCCTAACTTCATGCCCATGAGTCTCTAATTCCAAAATGCAGACAAACTGAAGACTATTCACTAACTGACATTAAAGTTAAACTACTTAATAAAAGGGGGAAAAAATCCAAGCACCAAATAGCCCAGATGTATAAATTCAAATTCAGCACACTTTTATTAAGTGCCAATGGCCTGTTAGTAAGATAAAATACAAATTCCTCTGATTGGCATTCAAAGGCATGTTGGTTCCAGCCTGTCTTTCCAGGCTGATTTTATGTTACTCCCCGTCACACATTTGACACTCAGCCAAGCCCGCTGTATTGCTATCCCACCTCCGAGTTTTTGCCCAGGCTGTGCCCCCTGCCTGGAACATTCTCCTTCCTCACCTCCAACTTCTGAGCTCGTGGACTAGCTCTTACCTGAGGTCTTACCAGATCCTTCAGCTGCTAGTGCATCCTCTCAAAAATTTGCCTTGTATTGATGAAAACGCACATTCACTAAGTGCTGCCTATGTGCCTTGCCTTGTGCTAGGTGCTTTACAAATAATATCTCACTTGACCCTCATAATAATCCTGGGAGGTAGGTGCTATTATTATCCACATTTTACAGCTGACAAAACTGCGGCAGACAGATGTCAAGTGATTTTCCCAGGGTCAGACAGCTAATAAGTATCTGAGGCCAGATTTGAATTGAGGTCCTCCTAATTCCAGGCAGCTAGGTGTCAAAATGGATAAAGTGCCCAGCATAGAGTCAGGAAAATTCATTTTTCTGAATTCAAATTTGACCTCAAATACTTACTAGCTGTGTGACCCTGAGCAAGTCACTTCACCCTGTTTGCCTCAGTTTCCTTATGAGCTGGGGAAGGAAATGTCAAACCACTCCAGGATCTTTGCCAAGAAAACCCCAAATGGGCTAACAAAGAGTCAGCCATGACTGAACAACTTCTGAATTCCAAGCCCAGAAGTCTATCTACTGCACTAATTGCCTCTATTGATTTTGCATATAATGTATATTTATTTTGCTCAATCAATAAACATTTATTAAATGCCTACTATATGCTAGGCACCATACTAAGCACTGAGGATACAAAAAGAGGCAAGGAGCTTACAATCTAATAGGGTAGACAAATTGTAAACAAATATATACAAAGCAACCTATCTACAGGTTAAATAGGAAATGATTTAAAGAGGGAAGGGACTAGAATGAAGAGGGTTTGGGGAAGGCTTCCAGTAAAAGAAAGGATTTCAAGTGGAATGTGAAGGAAGCCAGGGAGGTCCACAGGTGGATTCCAGGCATAGAGGACAGCAAGAGAAAATGGCAGGAACTAAGAGATGGATTGTCTTGTTCATGGTCCAGTCAGGACGCCAGGGTCACTGGATCAAAGAGGACATGTGGGGAGTAAGGTGTAAGAAGACTGGAAAAGTGTGTGTGGGGGAGTTAAGAAAGGATTCAAACACAGCATTTTGTGTTCAATCCTGGAGACAATAGGGAGGGAGCCACTGGAGTTTATTGAGTAAGAAAGTGACGTGGTTGAACCTGTACTTTAAAGAAAACCACGTTGGTGGCTGAATGGAGCACCGATTGGAGTGGGGAGAAGCTTGAGGCAGGCAGACCCACCGACACGCTATTGTAATAATCAAGGCTCGAGGCGATGAGAGCCTACGCCAGAGTGATGGCAGCGTCAGAGGAGAGAAGGGGGAGCATTGGAGAGATGTTGCAAAGGTGTGAACGCCAGGCCTTGCCAACAGCTTGGATATGGGCAGAGGGTGAGAGATAGTGAGGAATCCAGGATGACTCCTAGGTGGAGGGTCTGAGGGATTGGGAGGATGGTGTTGTCCTCTAGAATAACAGGGAGGGTGGCAGCAGAGGAGGGTTTGGGGGAAAGACAATGAGTTCCACTTTAGACATATTGAGGGTAAGATGTCTACTGGACATCCAGTTTGAGATGAAGGAAAAGCAGTTGGAGGTCATCATGGAAAATGCTATCCACATCCAGAGAAAGAACTATGGAGTTTGAACGCAAATCGAAGCACACTATTTGCTATTTTTTTTTCTTCTGTTGAGTTTTGTGTCCTCTTTCTGGTGGTTCCTCCTATTAGTTCTAATTCTTACTTACATCACTAATGTGATAATATGTTTAATAGGAATGTAAATGTATAGCTTATATCAGATTGTGAGCCGTCTTGGGGAGGGTGGTGGGGAGGGAGGCGGAGAAAAATTTTAAACTCGAAAGCATATGGAAGTGATTGTTGATAAATCAAAATAAATTAATTTTAAAAAAAGATTGGAGGTCATCAGGGAGTTTTGGGTAGGAAAGGTAGGTTTGAGAATCAACATAGAGATAGTAATTCAATCCATGGGAGCTAATGAGAAACAGTGTGTATATAGAGGAAATGGCCCCGGCCAGAACCCTGAGGGGATACCTGCAGCAAGAGGGCCTGATCTGGAGGAGGATGCAGCAAAGGAGACTGAGAAGGAGCCATCAGGTAGGTAGGAGGAGAACCAGGACACTTAGAAGACAGTATCAAGGAGGAAAGGGTGGTGTTTCCCACAACAGAATGAAAACTCCCTTGGTGAGGGAACTTTGATTTTTGTTTTTATATCCACTTTGCCTAGCACTGTGCCTAGCCTGGAGTAGTTGCTTAATTATGTTTAATTAGTGATCCATTAATTGCCCC